AAGTTTAACTCAGAGACAAGACAGATAGATAGATAATATATAAACATGCCAGAAGCTGCTTCCTAATAATTAAAATGCAAAATACTTAACATACATCCAAGAAGATACAACAAGTTATACTTGAAAGTGAATAAAATAGGAATCTATAATCCAAAGGCTGCCACAGGCACACTGTAGAGCAAAGATGAGCAGAAGGAGCACAGAAAGGTACCTGCACATTCCCAGCATGCTGCTGCTCATCCTTCTGCTCCAGAGGCTCTGACATAAAAAGGCATCATTTCTGTAGTCCCAGGACACAGCATGTGCAGGCGCTGACAGTAAGGATTGCTAATAAAAGAGTGGAGCTATTTCAAGTATCAGGAAAATAACGCTTAAAATGATCAAAGGAAGGTATAAAGTAGTATCTCTAAGAGATTATAATAAACTGGGGCTTGATCACTATGAGAATGGCTGAACAACGTCAAGGACTCTTTAATTTGGAGATCATAAAACCAGCTAAACTATAGCATGAATAACACAGGAGAGATAGTGGCAAGAACTAATGTGACATTAGAGTTATATAATGTCATATTTCAAAACCACCTTGAGTCTCTTTTACTGAAGACCAGTTTTTTCCCTCACGGTTTTAAAAATATTTATTGACGGTTTTCTGTATGCAAGGCATGCTCCTGATGTATGGATACCTCTGTAAATAAAATAGAAATCTCTGCCCTTATAGCATTTGTGTTTCCTTTTTTTTATAAAAATATTTTTTTATTTGTTCTTTTTAGTCATACATGGCAGAATGTTTTTTGACATATCATACATACATTGAGTATAACTTCCCATTTTTAGGGGTTGTACATGATGTGGAGTTACACTGGCTAAGACCAGTCTTGACACATCTCATCCACATGTCCATATTCTGCAAAAGTTTTCATTGGCCAGCTCAGCAACTAGAGTGGTCAGCAAGAAAGCCTCTCAAACAGTCTACCTCTCAGGGCTGGCTTTGCACTTGGCAATTCTCCTGGAGGTAGGGATACCCTTGCCCTTAGGAAGAGTCGCCCATCTGCTCTGGAGAGGAAAGCCACTCCATGCCCACGCTGTATTTTGAAATCACAAGTGAAACAGCTGCCCCTGCAAATGACTGGACACAACATCAGGGAAGGACTCAACATAATCTTGAGCCTCTTGAGCCCTCAGCTCCTCACCTGGGAAGCAGGTGGGGGATACCAATGCTTAGTGTGGTGGTTTGCTGTGAGGTTCCTACAGGACATGATTTGAAGGTAGGTGCCTAGGAAGTCAATGCATGAATGTGAGTAAAAAGTATGAAAGGGCAAGCTTTGAAAAGTACGTCAGATGACAAGGTTTTTTGCAAGAAGAGTTAAATAAAAAAATTTCTCCTTCAGATTAAAAAAATCATTTACTTATTCATTTCACTCAGTTCATGTTCAGTGTTAACATTTTAGACTCTGTGGATAAAGTCCTCAAATTACTTGCACAATGTTTTATTCTGGCATCTATAATATCCATGCAAACATCTTTCTTTCTGTGTGTGTGTGTGTGTATAGGGGGGATTTGCTTTTCCTCCCCAAAGTACTATGTCATGCCATCTGCTTTCCTTAGCATAAGTCACTATCAAGAAGTAGGTTTCTATGCTGCCATTTTCAGCAGCTGCATGATGCCCCATTCTGTGGCTATACCATAAAATATTCAATCAACTTCCCAAAAGTTGTTTGAGCTGTTTGCAAATCTTCACCTTTATAACTAACACTGTGCTTAAACACTCCTGCAGCATGAGCTGCTCTGTAACCCCTGCTGCCCTACCAAATGCTATACTTCACTCAGAGATGTGGTCAGATGTCATTTACAAGCTTCAAGTAGTGGCGCCTTCTCTGAAGGTGAAGCCATGTGGATAATCTCTACAATAATATTCACATGTAGGTTTCTCAGACTCCATGGTGTGGTCCCCCCCTGCCATGTATTTTAAAGCCATCTCCTATTAACCTGATTTGAAATACTCCTCAAAACTTTTGTTGAGACTTTCAGGGGGAAAAGAAAAAAAAAAACTTCTAGAAAAATGTTAGAAAAATAACAATAAAAGAAATTCTTGATGCCTAATCCTCAGCTGCAACCCTTGTCTAGAATTTTCACCTCCTGTGCCTGGTTTTGGTTCCTGAAAAGTTGCTTCTTGCAGAAGGCATTTCCCAAATAAATGGATAACAGTTTCTTTTGACTTTAATTCTACAATGTGATTCCCATGAGTTCATATTTAGGAACTACTCCTTTTTTTTTTCTGCACTATATAAAGCCCATATTTACTGTATTCTGTTTACTTTGTTTTCTTATTTCACTAATTTCCACAATTGTCTTTATTATTTTCTTTGGGAATTATTATTTTCTTTTCTAGCTTTTTGAGCAGTATACTCAACTATTTTCATTCTTCTTTTCAATCAATGCACTCAGTGTTTTGGCTCTATCTTGGATTGACTCCTTAGCTGCACTGCACAGCAAGTATTATTTTGTCATTTAGTTCTAAGCATTTCAAAACCCCCACTATGATTTCTTCTTTAATCCAAGAGTTCCTTAGAAATATACCATTTTAGTTTCCAAATGTAACCTTTATCATGTTATTGCTGGTTTCTAATTTAACTGCATCCCAGTCAGACAATGTCATCTGCTCACTAATGATTTTCTGAAAGCTGAGGTTCCTCTGATGACCTACTATGACGTCAAATGTGCAGATATGCTCATAGGCCTTTACCACAAATTCTAACAGTCTTTAAATAATGTTGGGTAAATCTTCAAGTCTTTAACCTCTTTTTTTATTATCTGTCATATTTCAATAGAAATGTGTAAGATTTCCCATAATGACTGTGGATTTGCTCATTTTGTCTTTGAATTCAGCCAAATTTTGCTATAACACACGTGTATCATGATTATTTTTATGTTCTATGTGGTCTGTTCTTAACTTTTGTAGTGACCCTCTGTTTCTCTTCCTATTGATATTGAATTTGCCTTGCAGTCTATTTTTTTTTTTTCAATGTTAAGATTGCTACTCTACCTTTTCATTCACTGGGATGTCTTTATTTTCAATCTTTCTCAAGAGTTATATTCTCTTTTAAGTAGCATATAGTTGTGTTGTTAAAAAAAAAAAAAAATCCAAACCGATACTATAGGCGAATTCGATTCATTTAAGTTTGCTGGGACACCTTTCTACCTCCTTTTTCTGTTTTCTATTTACCATCCTCCTTCTTGTGTTCTTCCTCATAGTGTCCTTTCTGGTCCTCTTATAGATTTCAAAATGTTCTGTTTCTGTTCTTGTTCTCTTTTGTTTTAGGGTACATTTGCATGCTGTAAGGATTCGCCTATCTACACTGCAGTGCACACCTAGGAGGGCAGTCCTAAGATAAACCTTAGTGCCCGTGAGCGTACCTGTTTCAAGATTGCTCCACTGCTGGCACAGACCCAACACTTAATACAGCAGGCAGACAAGTGGATTTGTAGTCAGAGCTTTCATTCAGAGTAAGGATATTGTCCTTTTCTCTTAAATACCACAAGCACAGCATGACTAGATCCATTAAAATTTTTTCCTGGGGCTGGGGATGTGGCTCAAGCGGTAGCACGCTTGCCTGGCATGTGCGGGGAGCTGGGTTCGATCCTCAGCACCACATAAAAATAAAATAAAGATGTTATATCCACCGAAAACTGAAAAAAAAATTAAAAAATTCTCTCTCTAAAAAAAAATTTCCCCCTTAATTTTGGTTGTGATTTTCATATGAGATTTATTCAGATAATACCATCAGATAAGTAACTTATTTTCTAAAAATAATCACATACAGGAATGGGGCTGTGACTCAGTGGTAGAGCACTTGCCTAGAATATGTGAAGCACTGGGTTCGATCCTTAGCACTACATAAAATAAAGAAAAGTTATTTTAAAAAGATAAAAATAATAATAATAATCACAGGAGTTACTGCTCTGCTTTTCCTACTTTTACCAACATTTACCCTCTTTTTTCATATAAAAAGTATTTAATCAATAATGATTGAACATTTACCCTCTTATGGGGAGCTTACTGCAGGAGTTTTCAATTTTGGATTTGAAATTTCAGTCTTAACATTATTTATATAACAAGAAAGGAAGTAGAAATAAACTAAATGTGCATGGAAGGAGTAGCTATACAAATCATGCATCAACAAACTGGACTGTGGAATGACTATCAAATATCTACATAAAATCTAGACACAGAAAAGCACATAGACCACAGGGACCTGAAGATACTCAGTGGACACAGTAGGACACTCAAACCCATGTGCAGATAGTACAACCCACATGTGATTTTAAAACTTCCTGAAACATCTTAAGTTTTTTCTCTCCCTTTTTCTTTCTTTTCCTTCTTGTCATTTTAGTCCTGGTTGTCATGGTCACCACCTTCTTCTTTTTCTCTGAAACCCTAGCTTTCAGTTCCTAATAAGGCCTAAGCTTATTTCTCATACTTTTTAGGTTAACACAAATCAGATCACTGTGGTAAGTTCATATTCACTACACCAGTGTGTGACTAATTTCATTTCCTGGCAGTGATATACATTTGGAAAACAATAACGACAACAAAAAGGTCCAACTGAAATTCAATTTAAAAGCAAAATTTAATGCCCACCTAAAATGTGGGGTGCTTTACATGACTTTATTCTTAATCAGACAGTGATTCAGAAAAAAGGAAGGGGAATTTCTGCCCCAAAAGTTAGTGCATCCCCTCTTCTCACAAAAATGCATTTGCCCTATTTAGATGGTTCCAGTTCCTTTGCCAGGACTTTACCAAAGCCACAAACTGTGAGAGCAAAAACATACATCTTATTCTCTGTTCTTCCTGTTATCATACATGGAACCACATGATATATCATAGATTTTTAAAAACTGTATCAATAGTGAAACTTTAAAAACTAGATATATAAGTGGTAGATTAAGTTGCTCTGAGTTAAATATGTCTTTAATTAAACAGAGCCTTGTTTTGTTCCTAGAGATCCTGCCTGCCACCACTGGGTCTAGAGATGGCTAGCAATTTCACCACACCTCCCACAACTCCTCAGGGAAATGACTGTGACCTCTATGCACACCAAGACACAGCCAGGATAGTAATGCCTCTGCATTATAGCCTCGTGTTCATCATTGGGCTGGTGGGAAACTTACTGGCCTTGGTTGTCATTGTCCAAAACAGGAAAAAAATCAACTCTACCACCCTCTATTCCATGAATCTGGTGATTTCTGACATCCTTTTCACCACGGCTTTGCCTACACGGATAGCCTACTATGCACTGGGCTTTGACTGGCAGATGGGTGACGTCTTGTGCAGGATAACAGCTCTGGTGTTCTACATCAACACTTACGCCGGGGTAAACTTCATGACCTGCCTGAGCATCGACCGCTTCATTGCCGTGGTGCACCCTCTCCGCTACAACAAGATGAAGAGAATTGAGCATGCCAAAGCTGTGTGCATATTCGTCTGGATTCTGGTCTTTGCTCAAACTCTCCCACTACTCATCAGCCCCATGTCCAAACAGGAGAATGAAAGGATCACTTGCATGGAGTATCCCAATTTTGAAGACACAGAGTCTCTTCCCTGGATTCTACTGGGTGCCTGTTTTATAGGATACGTGCTTCCACTCATGATCATCCTCATCTGCTACTCGCAGATCTGCTGCAAGCTCTTCAGAACTGCCAAACAAAACCCACTCGCAGAGAAATCTGGTGTAAACAGAAAAGCCCTCAACACGATCATTTTCATCATTGTCGTGTTTGTTCTCTGCTTCACGCCCTACCACGTGGCAATTATCCAACACATGATCAAGAAACTTCACTTCTCTGACCTCCTCGAGTGCCACCAAAGGCATTCATTCCAGATTTCTCTGCACTTCACGGTGTGCTTGATGAACTTCAACTGCTGCATGGACCCTTTTATATATTTCTTTGCATGTAAAGGGTACAAGAGAAAGGTCATGAAGATGCTGAAACGTCAAGTCAGCGTATCAATTTCCAGCGCAGTGAGGTCAGCTCCCGAAGAAAATTCACGTGAAATGACAGAGTCGCAGATGATGATACACTCCAAGACTTCAAATGGAAAGTAAAGGGACCGCATCCTCCCTGGACTTGATATGAACTCAGTAGGACTTCTCTCCCAAAGTAAAACAACTATTCAGCTTCCAATCAGGATGCCTTTCAAATGGACACTATTTCCCACCATCAGTGGATGAACTGATTGAGAAACATCAAGTTTAAGCTCAAGAGAACAGTATAAAGCAAGTTCTAATTCATAAATGAAATAATACTATATCAAAAGGAAGTTCTCTAACTCTTGGTGAAGAAAAAGTTTTACATCAATAAAAAATCATTAATATTTCCTGCCAATAATGTGGCAAGAGAGACTGACAGATTGTATATTATCAGTGTAAAAATGTTAATATTGTAATATATTTTGGTAACATATTTCCTTTTTTATACTTTTATTGTATTTGTTTATTTTTATGTGGTTCCCAGGACCAAACCCAGTGTCTCACACATGCTAGGCAAGCATTCTACCACAACCCTGGCCCGGTAATGTATTTCTTAAATGCATATTTCCTTCCATTTTAGATCTCTGTCTCCTCAATAATATGGTTTTTATTTTGTTTTGTTCTGAGTCATGTTTCAAAGAACACTTCTGGAATAAAAAGTAGGAAGCTACAGATTTATGACTATGTCCCTCACTGTTCACCATGAACTACCAGCAGAAGTTAGAGGGGGAGTAAAACTAGGAACAGGTATATTCAAAAAGCAATATTGTAAATGATGATGGTGACTGAGACAACACAGGTGTCCACCTTTCCCCACACAGTCAGGGTAGTATTTAAGGGCCACTGCTCAGAAATAGGGAGGTATCCACTGGGAGAAGGAGTCACTTGCTAAATTCTCCTTAGGGGTAAAAAATAAGCATATATGTTTGTCTTCCCTTGGGTCCATAGGGGATCATCATTTCCCATGGGGAAAATTCTTTTTTATTCCCAGATTGATTGTACCTTGTATCTATGTTTCTGTAGTCTGGATTACAAGAAAGGCTAGGGGCGGGGGTGAACAGTAGAGTGTATGGTTGATACTTGCCTAGATAAGACAGGAAGTAAAATATAAAATTATAAGGGTTCTCAGGATTCTTTACAACACTATACACTTGCTCAAATAAATACCTCAGTACAAACAGTAGTTCCTTTCTAAGCTCAATCTGTTTGACTGCTCAGAATGGATTACAAAGTCGCTGAAATTTCCTCAATATGGTTGGTTATCTCAATTGACAATGATACTAATTTTGATAACAGAAGCTAAAGAAACAAAGACTATATCATAAGTCATACTTTAAATTTGTATTGGGCTTTAGACCCTCACTCTATTTCAAATTCTAATCTTGCTCACTTTTTACCCCATAAAGAAATTAATCTTAATGGTTGGTGCAACAATGGTTGATGTATAGTTCAGATCTGTGTTATATTAACTTCACAAAAAGCCACATGGCCTTTGAAATGCCTCCTAGAAATAGGTGATAGACGAGACTGCATGGACAAAAGTTGGGATCTAACTACCTTGCCTTCATTCCATCTATAAACTTTCCCAAGTGGAAGGAAACAAAGGGTAAGCACTAGATATTTTGTGCAAGGTGGCACGAGGTGGTCATTTGAGTCAGATGTCTAAAAATAAACCATTGTGAAGACAACTAAAGGAAAACTAGAAACAAAGACATTGAGCCTCCTCAATGTCTGAGGCTCTTGATGGTAAACCAGTTCCAGACTACACTGGAACACAGACCATCCTGCAGATGAGCCAATGACAAGGTGCTCATGGGACCAGTTCTTAGGTTCCTTCACACAAGGAGGTCAATACCTCTAGCACTTGACAGAGGAACAGCATATTTTTTTTTTAATCTTCAAATTCAGGTATTTAATAAACATGCAAAGATCCTCTGTATATAAAAGTTACAATTAGTCATTTGTGCCTGTAAATTTAAAACTGATAACAATAGGAATGAAGAACAATTTGAAATTCTAAAAACATGAGTCAAAGAAAATTCTGTGAGATTCAATTCAGAGTTTCAACTGCTTGCGGTCAACACAAACCACGGTTTAAATTCACAAGTTTTACCAATCTTGGGAATTTTATTTTCATTTACGTGAGTATGACTGTTACCAGTTTTATTAAATCCTACTTTCAGCATATAGCTGCAGAACACTTTCTAATTACTAAGTGGTAGGTAGGTAAGGAAGGGTGTTCCCTATGGTAAGTCTCATCAATGGGTTATTTGCTGTTGTGTTCTTTTTCTGACATTTCTTGTTAGTGAACTGTGCTGCTTGCTGCATTTTCTCCAGTTTTTCCAGAGTCAAAGACTGTAAGGGTAAAAGTTTGGGTTTACAGAGCACCATTGTGCTTATACCTTCCACAAACAGCTGCCCTTGGTTTGGAAGAACTTCCTGGAACACTGACTTTACTTCTGCCATGTACGAACTATTGGATACAGTAAGTTTTTTTCCTCAAAATTCCGGTTGTCTTCTTGCTGTTTCAGCATCCAATCTGGTAGTATCAAGATGTCAGAGTTCTTGACTGAAGCCTATGGAAGGAAAGACACATTCCTTCCCAGAACAGTCAGCTGTTGCCAGGGGTAACGGTAAGACCAGGCGAAGAAAGGAACAGTACATTCTTTTACCTTAAGTTTCCCACCTTTCACTTCCACCTCACCACAACCTATAAACATGATGGTATCTAGATTTCAGTAGCCTACGACAAAAAGGTAAACTCTAAACAAATCTCCAAATAATCTTTTCTAAGTCTATAGTCAGTCAAACTCAGCCCTTCTCTCTCCTTCCCAAGGCCTCACGGCCTACTCCATTCACCCAGCGGTCACTCACCATGACCTAGGGCTCTCTCGCATCATCTTGTATTGTTAGTTAACTTCACTTTTATTGCTGGCACAGTCCCTTCACCAGTAGTAGGTAACCTTGGAGCACAGAGGCAGTGCTAGACAATCTTTGTATTCTGTTACAGAACAAAGGAGGTGATATACATCTGTTTAAAAACTGTGCTGGGCACAGTGAGCACCTATAATCCCAGCTACTTGGAAGGCTGAAGAAGGAGGATCACAAGTTGTATCCAGCCTCAGCAATTTAATGAGGCCCTGTATCAAAATTTAAAAAAGGGGGGGGGGATGTAGCTCAGTAGTTGAGCACCCCTGGATTTGATTCCCAAGACCAAAGGGTGTGGTGGGGGAGCGGTAAATTATAACTTATAAGTATTTTCTAAATGAATCAATTAATACATTACAAGTTTAAATAAAATAGGGAGATAGGAAAACTCCATTTGGGGAAGTAGATAGTTATTATGGCAGATGGCCATATTTCTTTCATAATACTTTTATTTCTAAAAAGATCATTTGGTTAAAGTTTCTTAAACCCTTAAAGCTACTCAGTTTAAAACTATTACATGTATCAACTAGTCAGTGGTGGTATAAGAATAACAAGAAATGACATCAGGTATACCTAAAGAGCTCAAAAATGTAGAAACAGGCCATATGTTATGTGATTTCTTCCCTTCCACAATTCTGTGGACAACATGAGCAGGGGGGGCTGCCCATACTAAATCCAGAAAAGCAGCTGTCAAGGAGGCAGCAACAAGAATAACTCGATATTCTAGCCATAAAGAAGACAGAACTGAAGCTAGGAGGGATGATACACACCCGTAATCCAGCAATGCAGGAGGCTGAGGCAGGAGGATCACAAGTAGAAGGCCAGCCTCAGCAACTTAGCAAGACCCTGGCTCAAAATGAATAAAAAAAAAAAAAAAAAAGAAAGGAAGGAAGGACGGACTGGCTCAAAATAAAAAATAAAAGCTCAGTGACAGAGCACAAGTGGGTTCAAACCCAAGCACTGCCAAAAACAAAAAAGAATAAATCATGTGGACCCAGAAAAAGTATGAGAGGCTGACTTGTATCATTTATGCCAGCAGAGTATATAATCTTTAAATAATGGGACAAATGACTCAACAATAGCTTATGAACTTGGATGGGCTATTTATAACCCCTTGAGGACAAGGCCCTGGTTGCTATGTACCAGGAGCTGGCACAGCATCGGCCGATAGAGTTCTCAAGTACCCACTGAACAGAATGGCACGTGTCTTGTACTATCACTGGCCACACTCTACAGCCCTACGGGAATACCTGGGACGTTCTTAATTTCTCAGAGGAATGATAAGAAATACCATAAATGCTAGATTGCACGTGCCCCTGAGGAGAGACGTGTGTGCCTTAGAAGACTCTGCAACTTAAACTAGACATATTAAAAAACAGAGGCAATTAAACAGCAAATTATTAATAGAATTAGATAGAGCAGTATGTTCTGCTTGGAGGTAATTTCATAACTCAAGGGGCGAGGGCAGTGGCTCCTACCAACCAGCCAACAGTGGTGTGCAATTTTAAAAGGGGAAGCACTGATCTTAAATTAGCCTTTTAAACGCTCTACTTTGGTTACTTTTCAGTCTGTTGTAATCTGTTATTCTCTGAAAAGCTAAAAATACGTGTTCACTGACTGACTATTCAGGTTAAGAATCAGAAATGAAGGCATGAAGACTAGAAATGATGTGGGACCAACCATGCCCATGAGTATTCACCAGACTGCTGCCAATGGAAGTTCTAAGCATTACACTCAGAAAAACTCATCACTTAGAAGAAAGCCCCACATTTCTGTTCATTAAAACCTCAGTGAGCTAAGAATGACCGTTACCCATCAGTCACCACACACTCTTCTTACCACGGCACAGGCAGCATGTCACTTAACCCCCGCCTGAGCTGGTGTGCTTATCATCCCCACCATGCTGACAGGAGGCTGGGTGCCAGGCCCGTGGTATGCTGGAGCTGGGATTTAAACTCAAACCTTCTGGCCCAGGGCTGCAGCCAGTCAATGACTAGGAGCAGTCCCTTGTCACCATTACTGAAATGTGCTCAACAAGAACTAGCTCCAGTTCCTCCTCTTGCCCGGGTCACATGCCTGCATTTCCTACAGCCGCCTGTGCCTGTCCCTCTCCCCACTTCTACATCTTACATCAGCCCATTTCCCCACGTGGCCCCTACTTGCCTGAAGACTCCACCTTCACTCTCCCAGCCACTCACAGCCTCCTGACATCCAGGGGGGTTAGCAGTGAGCAAAGCCTTGCTTGGTTTTACTCCTCCTGCACTCTCCTGTCCATCTTTTCTTTACCCAATGTCACCACCATTGTCTAGACACAAGCCAGCCATACCTAGATTGCCACCACTCTTCCCGTCTGGCTGCTCAACCAGAGTCAGAACTTTAGGCTCCTTTAGGACACTGTCCAGGAAGCCAGCATATTACACTAATAATACCAACCATAACACCTGCCAGCGATTGTACAGCACAGTGCTCCAAGCACTCATGGGAAGCTCAGACGCGTCACAGTAGCTCTGTGAGGCTGGTCTTTCTCTCTGCCCCCATTTCATAGACTATGAAACTAACTTGCTAGGGAGGTGTGTGGCTTTCCCAAGGTCCTAGTCATTGGAGAGGCCAGGTTCTGGATCCCGGCAGTATGGCTCTGGGTCTTCACTCTGAAGCCAGGGCCTCACATGTGTTAGGCAATCACTCTGCCATGAGCTACAGCTCCAACTCTTTTCTGAATTTTTATTTTTAAATAGGTTCTTATGAAGTTGTCCAGGCTGGCCTTGAACTTGTGATTCTCCTGCCTCAACCTCCTAGTTGCTAGGATTTCAGGTGTGCACCACTGCACCTAGCTATGCACTCTTATCACTACATTTTCTCTCTTAAACGAGTAGTATTACATGTCCCTCAAAGAGTCTTGAAAGAAATACTGTTCCCTTGCTGGATTGGGGGTGGGGGGATGTGACTACTTCTAGCCAATGAGTTGAGGGAAGTGATATATATCACTTCCAGGGTGAAGTGAGAAAGTGATGACATATTCTATCCAGCTCTTTTCTCTTGCCACTGTGAGCAGTGATGCTCTGGATGGTGGACCTTGGTCAGCCTGGGTCCCTGAATGAGTAAGTGCAGAACTCCCACCCTATGCACCTGTGTTGAATGAGCAGGGCACACAAGCAGTACACTCAAGTGTTAAGCCTCTGGATTCCAGGATGCATTTGTGGCTGCATCCCGTGGGGCTGTAGAGTGTTGCCCACTCTGATTGATAGAGTGTTTAACCTACTTGGAAGGAAAAACCAATATACAGAATATAGGAAAAGAAAATGCAGACAATCCTTCTAGCACACAAACTCATCTTCCCCTCATCCCACTTTCACTGGGTCCTTTCACACTCAAGGATGGAGACAAGTTCCCCAGAGTCTACAGCATGGAAGTCCCACTTCCTCCCCTACACTTTCAATCCTTCCAAGCCAATTTCTTTGCATTGCCCAGTATGTGCCTTTCAAGTCAGTCTGGTTAGTTTTGTCTCTCTTCCAAGAAGAGAATACACATTAGGTTCTCACTGGATGGATTACTTTTCCCTTAACTTACTGTTTACACCTACATCCAAACTTCCTGTCTTCAACTCATTTGGCTTTTAAAGTCTACATCAGACAGCCTGAACTCAGACAAAGGAAGAAAAAACTCTATAAATAATAGGACAAATAACTCCTGGGCTCCTGAAGCCTGGTTCTAGTTGGCTGTGACCCAGCTCCGACCCACTCTGTCCAGTCTTTGAGCCTCTCTGGGCCTCGGTTTTACGCTCAGGGAAGCCAGTGTTAGATAATCTGTCAGCTCTCTGCTGGCCATCAGATAGCCTAGGGCTTATACTTCATGCTTGTGTCCCTTCCTCAGCTAAAACATAAGACTCCACTGGGGCAGACACTGACTTTTCCTGAGCAGCTGTGACTACAGCTCCTTGAACGTGGACAAGTTCATGTCGGAAACCATGTTGACAACAGGCTGTCACACATTAGCCACATACTCTACATTAATAAAACGAATGGAAGTGGACATGAGACTTATGCTATTGCATGTGATTATTTGTTAGGCACAGTAGGTAACTAACACATGCTTGGTACTAAAATAGTAATCATGAGAAATATTTTACAGTAGAAACTAGAACAACATTTGCCTCAGTCAGGATTTCTTTTTGCTTTCTGCTGACAGTATCAGAGGACCACCAGCTTTTCCAGTTTCTTCCACATATAAAAACGGCACATATGTCTACTTACACTTACTTATCTCTGACAGTGCATATTCAAACTGAAGAGAAATCTCTGCAACACTACAGTTGTTAGAAGAAATTATATGAGAAGGCAATATAGATGAGAAATACAGAACACAATTTTTGTCTTAATAGCTAATCTTCCTCAAAAACCAAAGCTTCTGTGTTTCTTCTCCTTGCTACTAATACTTTTTAGATATCTTGTCTACATAACTAACCTGCAAGCCAGTCCTGGGCAGGAGTCCCATGACCTTCTGTCCCCTAAAGGACCTATTGTAATTGATCAGAAACAAGAATTTAAGTATTTTTTGATTGTCCTTTTTCCATCTTCTCAGAGCGTGAGAATCTTTATTTCTGGTTTCTATAACTTGTAAGAATAACTTTTCCCATGTAGGTTTTGAGAAGAAAAGAGTATGTCAGACTGAAACCACAGGGGGACTACAAAAAGGTTGAATCGTCTAAAAAAAGTAACATTCTAATGTGTCCTTTCTGCCTGAGGATAGCAATCCACAGCCTTCCCCTCAGGTCCCACAGTGAAAGCCCCTTCCCCCACTTTGGTATGTAGTGGCAACATTAGGGTGCCTGCCTGTAGGAGGGCTTAAAAAGATGGATGCATCCTGTGCTATCATTCACTACCTATCACGTACAATGACTGAGACCTACTGCAAGTGTCTCCAGAGACATCTCAAGCATTACTGCCGATTTGTGCCCCATCAGCGGAGCAAGGGTAAGAAGAAGGTCATGAATTTGATCTTACTGGTTTTATTTAAAGAACAAGTGTAAAGAGAAGGCATTAACCTCACACACCTGACACTCACATGACAAGAAATGGAAGCAGTCTTTGTTTCTAGTCTCA